CTCAGTGTAATGACTCAGTGTAATGATCCCAAGCTCTCCCCTCAGTGTAATGACTCAGTGTAATGATCCCAAGCTCTCCCCTCAGTGTAATGACTCAGTGTAATGATCCCAAGCTCTCCCCTCAGTGGAATGACTCAGTGTAATGATCCCAACCTCTCCCCTCAGTGGAATGACTCAGTGTAATGATCCCAACCTCTCCCCTCAGTGTAATGATCCCGACCTCTCCCCTCAGTGTAATGATCCCTACCTCTCCCCTCAGTGTAATGACTCAGTGTAATGATCCCAACCTCTCCCCTCAGTGTAATGATCCCAACCTCTCCCCTCAGTGTAATGATCCCAGCCTCTCCCCTCAGTGTAATGATCCCAACCTCTCCCCTCAGTGTAATGATCCCAACCTCTCCCCCCAGTGTAATGATCCCTACCTCTCCCCTCAGGATGATCTCTGCCCCTGTGACATCCCACCCATCGCGGCCAGGAGCCACCACTGCCGGCCGACCCACGTACCAGGATGTGTCGGAGAGCCCGCGTGAGTCGCCTCGTAAGACGGTGTGGGCTGACAACTCCCTGGAAACGGGCTCCAGGCTCAGCCCTCGTCTGCTGACCAGTGTCCGACTGTCGGACGATGAGAAATCCTCCCGGACCAGAGGTGGTCAAGGTCACACAGGGGCCGCAGCGGTGACCTCCTCCACCGCCTCCTCCTCCTCACAGCATGGGATGATGATGATGATGATGAGTGGAGGTGAAGAGGAGGAGGAGGAGGAAGATGAAGAGATGGTTTCCTCGGAAATGGCGGACATTGTGGTTGGTAATCCGGTGATCATGCAGAACCTGATCCGCTCTCTGAGCCACTGCCACAGCAACAAGCTGGCCCTCATGTTTACCCACAGCTCCGACTGGCCGCCCCTGGGCCTGCACAAGACGGTGGACCAGACAGAGCCGCTGACCGCGGGCGACCTTGTGTTCACCGTGCTGCGCACGCTCAAGGACAGGTGCTCGGACAGGAACGTCATGGTGGACAGCCTGTTTAAGTTCTTCACGGGACACCCGCCAGTCACCCGCCAGCCTGCCCTCACCCGCCTCTCGGAGCCCCTTCTGTTCTTTACGCTCCGCTCTCTCTCCTCTCAGGCCGCCATCAACAAGTTTATTGAGCTCAGTGAGTGCTGGCTTTTTTTTCTCAATGATCTGATAGAAGTTTGGTTTGATGGCAAAAGTAAAACAAATTCGCATAAGTAGGTATTACTATAAAATTGTAAATAAGTAAAAATGTTACAATTTTTCAAAGAATTTTATAAGTGTTTGTGCGTCCATTAGATAAAGAACAGTTGTTTATAGAGGAGATAAAACATGTTTGGTGTTTGCATGAACAAAGCTGTTTTTGGTAATGTCTTATTTCTCTACTTACTCAAAAATCAAATAATCTTCTGACATTGTTCATTTGACTGTGTGAAGATAGGTGGGAAATGTTCCAGGTTTTGTCTTATGTAGGGTTTCCTTCTTTTCATATTGTTTACCGTCTCCTCTGATTCAGTAGGTGGGTATTTGGAGGGTGTCACTGGTAGATCCTATTTCTTTTCTTTTACTCTGTTGTCGTTTTGTCTGTCTGTCTTATCTGGCTTTTTCCCTAGCATCAGATGGCTGTTATTATATCTGTCTGCTTCTCTTTACTCAAATCAAACAATGTCTTGTGTCTGATTGGATTTTAATGGTAATTTTAATTATTACTTTGAGCCCAGTGGCAACACCCCTCGGGGCGATGCCACTGACTGAAGTGTCTTTAAGCCATTCCCAAAGGGGGGGGGGGAAGGGAGGACACATTAACATCTCGAGTTCATATGCACAGTAGAATTGTAATTGTAAATGGGCTGATTCCTCAATGTCATGCTCAAAACTGTGCCTGAACTGCAAGGGGGAACTGCTGCATTTTCTTTCCTAATCCTCATTATTGTCATTTTCCCTCTACGCTATTTCCGGGGTGCCTTGATAGTCAAAGCAGACTTTGTGCTGTTGAAGCTAGAGAGGTGAGCAGAGTAAGTCTGATTCCCTGTAAGGACTTCTCTGTTGACATCCACCCCTTGGCGCTCATATAACCTAATGCAGTTGCGAGCGCCGTAAAACCTCTACTAAAACAAAAAACAAAGCCCAGTGACATCTTCACATCTCTCCATTTATTTCCAGTACTTTTTAAAATGATTTTTATTGCCTCTGGTTAGAGGGAATCATTTCTGTTTGTGTAGGTGGTTGGAGGGTGTCACAGGCAGGTCCCGTTGTTCCTGTCTGTATGGGTGGTTGAAGGGTATTAATGGTAGATGCTGTTGTTTCTGCTGGTGTGCTTCCATTCACTCAAAACTCACAACGCTTGTAATTGCCAGATGGTGTGGAAGTAGTGGGTTCGAACCTGGTCCGCTGCAGCCAACAGATGATCTCGGCGTCTCCCAGCATCATCTCCACCCTGATGCAAAACTTCAGCTCCATCCACACGGACCTGGGAGACAAGAGCAAAGGCTTCGACCCGGACGACACGGAGGGCTTGCAGAGTTTTGCTCATCTAGGTAGGATGGGGGGAATGTAATTGTGAGTGTTTTTCGTCTCCAGAAGGGGGGGGTGGGGGGGGGTTAATTGCAAGGTTTTTTTTGTCTCCAGAATGGGGGAAAAAATGTAATTGTAATTTTGTTCTAATTGTAATTTTGTTCTAATTGTAATTTTTAACGCCCCCAGGCTGGAAAAAATATGTGTCTTAAGTGTTTTGTTTCTCCATGGACACGACTTGGATCAATGTGGGGGTGGTCTGCTTGGACCCTGCCTGGACCCTGCCTGGACGGGCCAGCTGGGGCTGAGACACATGCAATGTCCCAGCTGACAGGTGCAATGTCCCAGCTGACAGGTAGATATATACTTGATAAAGAACATATCTCCTCCTGCGAATCAAACTCCTGTCCAGTTTGTATGACGGCGAAATGGGCTAACCACTACACCACAGACACTATTGTTGGGTGGAATTCGGTGTTTATTGTGCTTGGCGGGTGCTCTGGTGTGGTTTGCTCCTTCTTTTCTACCAAACATCTATCGTCCTGATCTCTCCTCCTTTTTTTGTGTTTGTTACTCTCTTGTAACATCTCTGGTCTTTGGCACTTATATGACCTTATTGTGTTGCAAATGCCATTAAACTCTTACTAAAACTCAGTGAACCCCGTGGCGGTACCACTGACTGAGTCTTTAGGTCATTCCCAAAGGGGGGACATTTCTCTTTCTTATGCACAGTAGAATTGTAAATTGGCTGATTCAACAATGTCATGCTCATAACTGTGTCTGGACTACAACAGGGAACTGCTGCTTTTTCTTTCCTAATCCTTACTATTGTCATTTTCCTCTACTTCTTTTGTATGTTTGTCCCTCTTGTGACCTGCTATTTCCGGGGTGCCTTGAAAGTCGAAACAGACTTTGTGCTGTTGAAGCTAGAGAGGTGAGAAGAGTAAGCCCGATTCCCTGTAAGGACTTCTCTGTTGACATCCACCCCTTCACGCTCATATGACCTTATGCAATTGCGAGCGCGGTAAAACCTCTACTAAAATAAACCTAAAACTAAATGTTTATTGGCCAAGGCGGCTTGAAACAAAAATCCCTTGTTTTCTCCCATAGGGCCAAAATAGGACCGAGTTTGCCATTGTTAAAGTTAAGAACTATTTGAAAAAGAAATAGTTTCTCTTTAGTTGCATAGGTAGGTGTAACCACTGGTTGCCATGGAAACGGTGGCCATCTTAATGATACTGTGGGCCTGCAGACTTCAGCTCATCCAGGGGGAAAAACTTTCCTGTTTTTTCTGTTTTTCCTTTTTGTGGGGGTACTGCTAGCTTATGGGGACAGTGTATGTCTTGATTTGCTCCTGAGCCTTTTCACTAAATAGGAACAGCAACCATTTTGACAGCAATGGGGCCGGCAGATCTTTGCTCATCTTGGTAAGGGAGGGGGTTTGTAGGAAAGATTTTCATGTTTGTCAGCTTCAATACTTGATTAGGAAGGGCAGCCATTTGAGGCTCTACAGAGGGCTGTTAGATCTTTGCTCATCTTGATAGGTTTGCTTTTGCATGGCTATACAGAGGGCTGTTAGATCTTTGCTCATCTTGATAGGTTTGCTTTTGCAGGGAAAACTTAAAAGTTTTTCTGATAACCACGTGGATAGCTCTGGCCTCCATGGTGTAGTGGTTAGGCTCTTTGAAGTTGCATGCAGGAAATGTGTGTTCGATTACGCTGTGCGTCATGATTTCAGTAATAGTTTAAATGTGCTTCTTGTTTTTCCAGACTACATCTCGGTTGTTTTTTTCTGTGTGTAGATCCTGCTTTGTTTCTGTCTGTCTTGCTTTGTTGCTGTCTGTCTTACTTTGTTTCTGTGTGTTTGTTTTGTGTCTGTCTACCTTGCTTTGTTTCTGTCTGTCTTGCTTCGTGTCTGTTTACCTAATTGTCTTCCTTAAGAGTACACCGTTTGTTTGTCCCCCCCACCCAGGCACCATCACGTGCAGCAGCCCCACAGCTAGCCCGGCAGACGGACTCATCCAGTTTGGCGCCAACAGACGTGCGCGGTCGGCCACCTGGGCCTACCACTTCTACCCTGACGAGCCGTACGTGGAGCTGACCGTACACCTGCCCTTTGCCGTGCTGCTCAAGTATGTGCACATACGCCCTCATGGATCAGCTATCGCCAGTAAGTGACACAAACACAGGCTCACCTCACAAAACTTTGCTTCTAAATGTATTTTAGACTGTTGGGTTGTTTTTTCTTTAGTTAACAGCAGAAAGATTATGTAGTTGCGGTAGGGTTCACGTTGCCCATTCCGCGCCACCAGTGGCTACTGGCTATAGTTGTCTAATCGCTGTGCCTTTACTAAGAGGTCCACGGTCAGAAGGCAAGTCAGGCATTCCGCTCGGTCCATCCCTGCACCCAGACATTCTCAAACTGGCTTGTATCTTCTCAACCACAGAGGG